TCACCACAGAGGCCACCCCGCGGAGCTGCGGGAGGGGCCGGGGTCACCACGCCGGGTAGGGGTGCGGAGCTCAGGGGCCGAGGGTCAGGGCCCCTCGACATGCCGGGTGCCTGTTCCGGTCTGGGGACAGATGTGTGCGTGTGGGTGTCAGAGAAGCGAACCCTACTTATTTCACAGATCCAGTTAATGCAGGGTCCAAGCAACAGCAGAGATGCTTTAGATCTATTGCTTATACTCACACAGCTGAGGATGGATCCTGTGTGTGTCTCTGGGTGGGTGTAGGGTTAAATATAGATTTTATAAATGTGCATATCCAAATATAACACAGAAATCTCCTTCCAATCTCCCACTCTTACTATTTTTACCTCAGAACAAACATTTTGTTTCCATCTGATTTGTATATATATATGTATATATATATATACACACACACACATACACACACACACACACACACATACATACATTATTGGGAAAATATGTAAAAAGAAATCAAGAACAAAGTCCTGTTTCCCCAAGAACGCTGTTGATTTTATATTTCCTTATACTCTTTTTAAATGAATAAAGAGCTTATGTTTTTGGTTGTAAAAATAACTAGTGCTCACTGTCAGAAATTTGGAATCGAGAATTAGGAAAACTTACAGATAAGCAGCAGAACCACAGAAGACTGCCAAGGAGGCAGCCCCTGTTCCTGCCTGGGACCCGGGAGCCCGGCTCCCCCGGCTCCAGGCTGCTGGGCACGCGTGGCGAGGGTGGCGCTTGTGGCCTCAGTGGGAGCCCTTCAGACACGGGCCACACGGGTGGTGGGCTGGAGACAGAGGGGTCATGACCTTGACCTAGTACAAACGGAAACCGAGGCTGCAGAGGACCCCCCTCCAGCGCTTTAGGTCGCCACCTCCTTTACTCCCCCCCTCCAGCCTGCTGTACAGGTGGGGAAACTGAGGCCTGGGCAGCCGAGGTTGCTCTCTCAAAGCTGCGCTGTACTGAGTGGCGTCGGCCCCAGCCTGGGACTCTGAGTGCCGCAGACCAAGTCTGTGGCCCCCAGAGCTCCCACTTGGCTTCCCCTGCACCCAAGGTCCTCTTGTAGACAGTTTCGATTGAGCTGTGGGATGGTCCTGCGGCAGGGCTGGAGTTTCCCTTCACAGCAGCTGGGTGGGTGGCAAGAGGACAAAGCCCCTGTCCCCTCAGAGTGGGACCTGTGGTGGCTTCCAAGATCCAGGCAGACTTCCAGAAATGCATGTGTCTACTGCCCCCTAGAGCCCAGAGCCTGAAACTGCACCACATCCTCACAGCCTACCTGGGTCCCGGAGCCCAGCCCACGGGCGTCACGGCCCCTTTCTGGGCCCACCCAGGGCACCCGCCGCACCCCTGGCTGTGCACTGGGGCCAAGCAGCGGGAGAGGAGCCACCTGAAGATGCTCTCCCAAGAGGGGCTCCCTGTGCTCCCGGGCCTGGGAGCGGCCGCCGGCTTCCTTGGGAAGGGGGTGCAGGAGTGTGGGATGAGGGCCCGGCGCACACACACCAGCTCACACCTGCAGCCCTACATTTTTGGGCGCACATTTGTGCACTCGTGAAAATGCAGTCCCACGCCACGGGCCACGCCTGCAGCTGCCTAAGCACAGGTAGGGTGTGATGCGGGCCGGGCCCCGCTCGGGACCCTGACGTGGCAGGCAGAGTGCTGGGCGGGGTGGGGCAGCCTTGCTGCGTGTCCCCGGACCGCCTCGCTGACAAAGGTGAGACAAAAACAGGTCCCAGGCTTACGTGGAGAGTGGAAAGCCATGTGTGAAGTGTGGCAGAAAACATTCAGGGTGCAATGGGGGCCCTGAGGAGCTGGGCCTGGCCAGGGACACTTGCTGTGGGCCGGCGGCCAAGGGGACGCAGCGACTACACACCGGAGGGCGGGACACAGGCCAGGGCCCCAGCTCCATGCTGTGCAGAGAACCTCGGAACGCAGAGGCCGAACGTGCAGCAGGGAGTCAGCAGGCCGCACGAGGAGGTGCCACCTCTCAGAGCATGGGGAGGCCCGGTCACCACGTGGGGACACGTCCGAGGGCACCACAGCAGACACCCGCCTGGCACAGGGTGGGGACTGAGCCCACCTGCTGCCCTCACCTCTGCCAGGGGCTGGGCATTTGCCTGTGCCCTGCAGTGGCCACGCGCCCTCCTGTCTGCAGAGGATACGAAAACAGCACCGGAAGAAGGACAGGCACGCTTTCCTTACTGAGAACTGCAGACGGGTCTTCCTGTCGCATGCTGGAGCCTCCTGGTGTGAGAGCTTCCCAGCCGCCAGGCCAGCTCAGGGGTCTTCTGGCCACACCAGCCCCCAGACAGCCTCCCTAAGGCCATCTGCAGCCCCCCAGCTCCCTGCTCTGAAGCTGGGCCATGCTGACCTGCACCACTCTCCATGGCCCTGCTTCCGTGGAGGCTGGGACAGAGCCAGACCTGGTCCCCATGGGTCCCCACTGCTGAGTGGCCTTGTGGTGCTTCCCTTCAGGGTGACGTCCTGACTACCAAGTACCAGGTGGACCTGGGGGATGGCTTCAAGGCTATGTATGTGAACCTCACACTGACTGGTGAGCCCATCCGGCACCGCTACGAGAGCCCCGGCATCTACCGCGTGTCTGTCAGGGCAGAGAACATGGCGGGCCACGATGAGGCCGTGCTCTTCGTCCAGGTCAACTGTGAGTCTGTCACCCCTGTAAGACCCACTTCCTGACACAGGTCTTGGTTGTCAGGGAAACGGAGCCCCTCAGGGCTGGGCTGGTGGTGGTGATGATGGTGGTGATGATGGTGATGGTGGTGATGGTGGTGATGGTGGTGATGGTGGTGATGACGGTGATGGTGGTGGTGGTGATGATGGTGGTGATGGTGATGGAGATGGTGGTGGTGATGGTGATGATGGTGATGGTGGTGATGGTGATGGTGATGGTGATGATGGTGGTGGTGGTGGTGATGGAGATGGTGGTGATGGTGATGGTGGTGATGGTGATGGTGGTGGTGATGGTGGTGATGGTGAAGGCAGTGATGGCCGTGATGGTGGTGATGGTGGTGATGGTGGTGATGGAGATGGTGGTGGTGATGGTGATGGTGGTGGTGATGGTGGTGATGGTGATGGTTGGTGATGGG